CTCGTCCCTGCCTCCCTAACCTGTTCTTCCTCCCACCTATCCCCTCCTCCCACCTCAAGCCGCACCTCCATCTCCTACCGACCAACCTCATCCTGCCCCCTTGACCTGTCCGTCCTCCCTGGACTGACCTATCCCCTTCCTAACTCCCTACCTACACTCACCTTTCCTGGCCCCATCCCCGCCTCTTCGACCTGTTTGTTTCCTCTCCACCTATCCTCTCCTCTATCCCTCTTCTATCCGCCTCCCACTCTCTCCCTATTTATTTCAAAACCCCCTTCCCCTCCCCCTTTTCTGATGAAGGGTCTAGGCCCGAAACGTCAGCCTCTCTGCTCCTATGATACTCCTTAAAACTCTCCCAGTCGCTTTATTGGAACAGGAAGCATCTTACTGTGTGATTAAACCCTCTGAACAGTTCACAGAATGTTCAATCCCTCATCTCTATAGGGTTAGCCTATCTCAGCCATAACGAGTGGATTTGGGGCTACTGTGACACTGCACACTGTGGTTAGACACTGAGAAAACTGAGTCAAGGTTCCATCACCCAGCCACGTTCCAGTAATTCCTGCCTATTGGGAGTAAATAACCAGTGACATATCCCATTGTGAAATAACTGGTTGGCAATAAACATCAATCTTTGTCGATAAAATAAGACAGTCTTAGGAAAGTACTGCAGGATATCCAATAAAATGGATGTAAGAAATGTAAGAACCTTGCGGAGAAGAAGAGAAACAGGTAAAGACCTCAGAGTGTAAAAGCATAAAATGAAGCAGCAAGTAGGGTGAAGGAGGCAAAAGAGGTGAAAAGGCAAAATTAATAAATGCTGTTTATGTAAATGTACGTAGTATTTGGAATAAACTAAATGGGTATGATTTTATTGCAGTTATGGAGCCGCCATTACAAGGAGGTGAAAGCTGAGAACTAAATATTCAGGGGAATGTGACTTTTTGAAAGGACAGGCAGGAAGGGAAGGGTGGAGGAGTAGCATTGTTAGCGTGTGGTGGAATTAGCACAATTGCAAGAAATTATCTTGGCCCAGGCGATGTAGAATCCTTTTTGGTGGAGGTAAGCAATTGCAAGGGAAAGAAGACATTGGTGGGACTGGTCTATAGTCCCCTTAACAGTAGCAATTCTGTAGAACAAAGAATGAGTCAGGAAATAACGAGGGCATGTCAATAAAGGCAGTACTTTAATCATGGTTAACTTTAATCTTAATGTGCATTAGGAATATTAAATTGGCAGAGATAGGAACAAGAAAAATATGTTGTGAATCCAACCAGGGATCAGACTATTTTGGAAAGAGTGTTTGAGTCATACAGCATGGAAACAGACCCTCCGGTCCAACTCGTCCATGTCAACCATCTCCCAAACTAAACTAGTCCCACTTGCCTGTGTTTGACCCATATCTCTCTAAACCTTTCCTATTCATGTACCTGTCCAAATGTCTTTTAAATATTGTAACTGCACCTGCATCTATCACTTCCTCTGGCAGATTATTCCACATACACACTACCCTCTGTGTGAAAATATTGCTCCTCAGGTCCCTTTTAAATCTTTCTCCTCTCACCTTAAAAATATTGCCTCTAGTTTTGAACTCCCCCACTCTAGGGAAACGACCTCTGCTATTCACCTTATCTAAGCCCCACATGATTTTATAAAATTCTATTTTAAACCCTCCAGTGAAAAATTGTCCCAGCCTATCTAGCTTCTCCTTATAACTCAAACCCTCTAATCCTGGTAACATCCTGGTAAATCTTTTCTGAATCCTCACCAATTTAATAATATCCTTCCTGTAGCTGAGCGACCAGAACTGTACACAGTACTTCAAAAGTGGCCTCAATGACATCCTGTACAACCTCAAACATTACTCAATAGCCTAAGCAACGAAGACAAGCATTCTAAATGTCTTCTTAACCACCCTGTCTACCTGTGACGCAACTTTCAAAGAACTATGAACCTGAACCCCTAGGTCTCTCTGCTTGACAACACTACCCAAGCCCTACCATTAACTGTATAAATCCTGCCCTTGTTCACTTTACCAAAATGCAATACCTCACATTTATCTAAATTAAACTCCATCTGCCACTCCTTAGTCCATTGGCCAAATTGATCAAGATCCCTTTATAATCTTAGATAACCTTCTTCACTGTCGACTATACCCCAAGTTTTGGGGTCATCTGCAAACTTAGTAACCATTCCTCCAAACTTCTCATCAAAATCGTTTACATAAATGATAAACAACGGTGGACCCAGCACCAATCCCTGCAGAACACCACTGAGGTAGGTGAAATAAATGATCTCAGAGTATAAGATTCCCTGGGGAATCATTGGGCTATGGACCAAGTGCAGGTAAATGGGATTAGTGTAGTTTGGTGTCTGTTGGTTGGCATCGGCATGGTGGGCCGAAGGGCCTGTTTCTATGCTATATGACTCTATGACTCTATAACTCCTCATTATTTTCTTCCCTTAGCTGATGGAACAGAAGTGTCTGAACAACAGATCACCCAGCAGACCTAGCACCTCTAACGTACATAAAACCCACTGAACTATTTCAAGTGACGTATGAAAGGGGACACATGAGAAAATAAGAAATAGAAGCAGGGGAGGCCATTCAGCCCTTCACACCTGCTGTCCCATTCAGTAAGTTCATGGCTGCTCTGATTGTAGTCCTTTCCTGCCTGTCACCCCATAACTCTCAACTTTCCTGTCAATCCAAAATTGATCTAATTCAACCTTGGATATATTCAATGAACAAGGCCTTAATATTATCTTGGGGAAGAGAATTCCAAACATTAATGACCCTCTGTGAGGAAATTTCTCCTGACCTTTTTCTTAAATGGGAGATACGTTATTTTTAAACTGCGTTCCCTAGTTCTAGATTCGCCTCAAGAGGAAGCTTCCTCTGAGTAGCTACCTCATCATGCTCCCACAGAATCAGAGACAAGGAAATCACCACCAGCTGAATCGCCCACAAGTTTGGTGTTG